ACAAAGATACACCAGGGAAGACTCTCCAAAGGCCTAGAGGTGACACCCCAGGAGCCGAGGGCAAAGGTCAGGCCTTCCGTGGGTCAGCTCAACCTTTTACTGCACATCCCTGGAGGTCCTGAAGAAGGAAGCTTCACCCTCCGGGGCCTGCCCAAGCTGATGACTCACGGATTCAGGAGCTCTCCTAAAACCGCCGCTGCCGTAGCCATTGACTGTGGTGTCATGTGTTACCTGGCAATGAGTCATCGGCACAGTGAGGAAGTGCGAGGGTAGGGTGGAGTTCTCAGGGGACCCGAGGAGACCACCCTCCTGGGAGTCACTGTCCCACCACAGATAGACAGAATGGCTTTGGGGTCAGATTGTCACTGTTGTATCTCAACACTAGGAGGGCACGTGACTGGAGCTGAGAATGCGAGCAGCTTCTCACCTCTGCCCATGATTGAAACTGAGAATGTGAGCAGCACCTCACCCCTGCGTGTGATTGAAATTGAGAATGTGAGCAGCACTTCACCCCTGCCTGTGATTGGAGCTAATGCCAGTAGCTCCTCACCCCTGCCTGTGATTGAAACTGAGTATGTGAGCCGCTCCTCACCCCTGTCTGTGATTGGAGCTAATGCCAGTAGCTCCTCACCCCTGCCTGTGATTGAAACTGAGAATGTGAGCAGCTCCTCACCCCTGCCTTTCCATTTGTTGGTCCTGATCTTAGACTTGTGGGATCAAACTCCTCGCTTTAGTGAAACATCTTCTGGCTACTTCCAGAGTCACTGCTGAGGTCCCATAGACTGGGATAGTCACAAGGCGTAAGCAGAGTGAGAGGGACCCGCTCTGCTTCGGTGGGTGGGACGTCCTCTGTGCATTCCCTATTGGCTTGACAAGTCCCTGCCCAGGGTCTTGCATACGAGGGACTCTGTAAAATTTTCTCAAGTGGTTGAACGTTTGGAGGCCAGAAAACACTCACTCTTAAGAACGAATGGCCGGGCGCGGTGGCTCAAGCCTGTAATCCCAGCACTTTGGGAGGCCGAGACGGGCGGATCACGAGGTCAGGAGATCGAGACCATCCTGGCTAACACGGTGAAACCCCATCTCTACTAAAAATACAAAAAAATTAGCCGGGCGCAGTGGCGGGCGCCTGTAGTCCCAGCTACTCGGGAGGCTGAGGCAGGAGAATGGCGTGAACCCAGGAGGCGGAGCTTGCAGTGAGCCGAGATAGAGCCACTGCACTCCAGCCTGGGCGACAGAGCAAGACTCCGCCTCAAAAAAAAAAAAAAAAAAAAAAAAGAACGAATGTGGCCCCAGCCATGACTGTTAGAGTCACTGGAACAGGAATCCAAGCAGATGAGTACAGACAATCTAAGTCCTGCATTTAGGCTGAAAAGGTCAGTTGCCAAAATGCAGCACCAGAGTGAATGGGGTTGACTAAGAAAACCCCAGCAAATTCCAAGTGAAGGAACAGAACGGCACTGAAAACCTCCCCACAGTCTCTGATTGTGGTGACACCAGCGGAAAGGATTACTGTCTGAAGTTGTATTTCCTGAAGTACATAGACCATAAGTCCATGAGATGCCAATTAATAATCAAGTCCAGGGGTCAGGTCAGCAGAGGCAATGCTACATCGCATGTGCCCCTCTCAGTAGTTGAAATTCACAGTGCACGCTGGCACAGTAAATGCTCTGAGAAGCCCTGCGGGAAGACACAGGCCATTTTGTTTTACTCGGCGTTTCCCAGACTCACTGGACTGTAGTCCCTTGCTAGTGTAGTGCCGGCAGATATCCCGTAGGTCTTGTTTCTGTGCAACCACGCTGGAGAATGTCCGTGCCTAAGGAGGATGCTTCTGGGGGAGGTTTCCAGGTCAGGATGCGGTGGTGGTTTGGGGCCAGGATGTCCAGAGCCGAAAAAGGCAGAATGAGCCCAGATTCCTGAATGTAGCGAGAAGGCGAGCCACGCCGTCTCAGACCCTGCAGGGCTTGGGTGTGAATTTGGCCCATGTAAGAGGGTCAAGGGCACCCCACAGAGTCCACGCCTTGCCTGTGCCTCATCGTCTGCCAGCGGACCCCATGAAGCCCTTGTTGTTCTTGGCCACTGCCAGGTCCCATGAGTCTGCAGCCTCCCAGGTCACTTCCCGGGAACAGCTAGCACAGACCCAGGAGCAGATGAGCCGGGGCTCTGGGGGTATGGGCAGGCGGGGCAGATTGAGGACCAAAGGATGGGGGACGCCCACCAACCAGGCCTGAGAGGGGCTCCATGCTGCTTACACCCTCTCCCCTCGCCCGCTGGGTCCCTGTAAACGCCCTCAGGCCTGCCCCGGGCAACCTGAGAGGCATTCATATGGAAACCTCCGCCCAGCCTCGCCTCACATGCTGGGCCTGCAGTGGGGCGTGGAGCGCCGTGGTTTTGGAAGCAGCGGGGGCTTGTAACTTCCCTGGGACGTGTCAGAGCCTGCATGATGGAGGGCAGCCTGCAGGCCCTGGGCCCTGCTCAGCTAGGGCCCAAGTAAACACATCTCCGACAATCACAGAGCACACCAGCTGGAAAGAAGCCCAGAGGCTTGTGCAGTGCAAAACTCCTCAGTCCAACAGTGGGGAAACTGAGGCTTGGAGTGGGGAAGGGATTGACCATGGCTGAGGCAGGCCTGGGGCCCCAGGCTGCATCTCGATTCCAGGACTCCTTTGCACCCGCTGGGGGACATTCTGGAAGCCAAGATGCCTCATAGTTGAACACTGGGCAGGCTTTCTTCCGCTTTGGTGTTGGTTTGTGTTGGGTGGGAAGTAATGACGATCAGTTTATTTGTTAAAACTCCCTCAACTTATAAAACAAAAGGAGAACAGTGGCAAATACAGTGATTCTTTCTTTCTTGAGTTTTCAAAACACAAAACTTAATTTTTCTAGAAACCTGATTACCTTCTGCAGTTTTCCTTATTACTGCTTCTCCAAGTAATTTTTCAAAACGGTGAGCATTTAAAAATGTTTGGCGGGGCGCAGTGGCTCACACATGTAATCCCAGCACTTTGGGAGGCTGAGGTGGAAGGATCGCTTGAGGCCTGGAGTTGGAGGCCAGCCTGGGCAATATAGCAAGACACTGTCTCTAATCTTTAAAAAAAGAAGTTTGATTATGGAAGATTTCAAGTGTATACAAAAGTAGAACAAAGTTCTGTGTACCCACCACCCAGTGTTAACAAAGATCCCCTCACTGATCTTATTTCTATACTTCTACCCTGACAACCCCAAGCAGCACTATTTTGAAACAAATTCATGATCTATATTTTCACATCTAGCTATTTCAATGTATATCTCTAAAAGATAAGGAGCGCTCTCTTTTTTTAATGCAACATTTTATGTTTAGCTAATTTTAGACTTACATGCATTTGTAAGTAATAGCACAGAAACTTTGTACACTTAGGACCTTCCTGTTAACAGAACCATAATATTATTATTACAGCTAGAATATGTAACAATAGTTACTCAATATCATCCCATATGCAAACAATGTTTGCATTTCCCAAATGACTCATAATTTTTCTTTTTATAGTTTGTTTGAATGATTAGCTTTTAATTAATTAACAAGCTGTTCAAGGTAATCACATGTCCAAGTTGAGTGGCCAAATCTTGTTAATTAAACACTTTCAATTGCTTTATTGAGATACAGTTTGTGGACCATAGAGTTCACTCAAAGTATACAACTCAATGGTTATGTATTAGCTTTTTTTTGTTTTTTGAGAAAGAGTCTGGCTCTGTCACCCAGGCTAGAGTGCAGTGGTGCAATCTCGGCTCACTGCAGCCTCTGCCTCCTGTGCTCAAGCATTTCTCCCATCTCAGCCTCCCAAGTAGCTGGGACTACAGGCACCTGCCACCATGGCTAGGTTTTGTATTTTTAGTAGAGACGAGGTTTCACCATGTTGGCCAGGCTGGTCTTGACCTCCTGGGCAAAGCTTTCTGCCTGCCTCAACCTCCCAAAGTGTTGGGATTATAGGTGTGAGCCACGGTATCCAGACCGTATTAGCTTTTAATTTAAAATGTAATATACATCCATTGCAGATCATCCAAACAGGACTCTAGTAGAATGTTAAAATGAAAACTTTCTGCTTATAGTCATCACTATCTATGGAAGGCTTCCTTTTTATCCTACCAGCTAAATAATAAAAATGACATATAGATGACAAACAAAAAAGGAAAAAAAAAACCCTGTAAATACTGTACTTAGAAATAACAACCAAATTTATTTCAAACTTTTCCCCTTCTCTGAGGGTGCCTTTTTTAAAACAAAAAACTTAGCATCTCAGACTTCGTGTGCTCGCCTGAATATTATTGCAGGTTTATTGCTGAAGGATTTCTCTTGTTAACTCACTGAGCAAGACTCAAACGGCAGTCAGAAGTGTTCTGATTATCCCTGGAGTCCTAACCAACATATCCATGGGATAATTCAGGGGACTGGTGAAACTGGAGCGAAAACGATCACATCTTTATCTTCTCTAAGGCCCAACTGAAATTTAGCTTTTCCTTCCATGATGGCCATAGGCAACAAGCCAATCACGTTAACAGAACCTGTCACTTTGTCACCAACAAAATCCCAGATATTTTCTCATCACATATAGCCATGGCTGCTTTTCCAAACTGTAATTTGAGCTCAGTGCTACTTTGAGGTAAGGACGTTATCAGACTCTCTGTGAGATCCATGTTTCTAAAAAAGCACACATCTGACTATAGCACAATTTAAAATATTTTGATAACTATTTCAGTGTAATTGTTTCTTTTGTAATTCCACAAATTTTATACGTTTGAAAACATTCTGAGAAGGGCTTATTGGCTTTGTAAGACTTCCAGAGGGTTCTGAGGCCCCAGAAGGTTAACAGCGCCTGGATTGGAGAGAAATGCTTTTTTCCCCTGAAGTCACTGATAATTTATTTTTAATTTTTAATAAAAAAAAAAACAAAAACCCAGGGCCCCTTTGCAGAGCTCAGCTCCCTCCTGCTTCTCACCCAAATCCTTTCTTGTTTTTCAGGGCCGAACACAACCGGCGCCAGGGTCCCAGGGAGAGAGGCAGCAGGAAGTGAGGCTGAGGGGCTGTCTGTGTTGCGCAGGGAGCCGGGCAGGGCTGTTTTCCATGGCTGCCGGCCCTCTCCTTAGATGACTACACAGCTGCTTTTCACAGCGCTCAGCCTGCCCTCCTGGAGGGAGCATTTGAGGAGAAAATCCATCTCAACATCCACATGTGTATGACTGGAACGCGGGGCAGGGCGAGGAAGACCAAAGCTCCCCCACTTTCAGGAGGCGACTCCCCCTTCTCTGCTGGACAGGGGCGAGCAGGAACCACGTTGGCTTTGGAAGTTCACAGGGCAGTGGATCAGGGCCACAGGAGGAACAAGATGGTGCAGCTGCAGGCACTTCCGAGTGACAAGAGACAGGCATGCGTTCCAGGTGATCTGCGGGGCACCCACTCACAGGGCTTGGCAAGGTCCTGCAGTCATGGGGAACGTGAACGTTCTGACCCAGGCCTTCTGTCATTGGTCCCAAGCCCACATCATTTCTGCGACAGCGTAACTATCCAGTAAGTCATCTGCTTACCAGTGTCCCCCGAGCCAAGGACAGTGATGGAAAGCCGTGTGGAATCACTCCGGAAGAGGAACGTCGGTGGCCCTTTAAGCAGGATGAAGTCGATCCTACAGGCCACCCGGTTTGCCACGTGGCACATGCTGTGCTAAGTGCTCCCCGTGACCTCGTTCAATCCCTGCAGAGCCCCTGCTGGCCGTTGTGGTACGGTTGGCACCAGCACGGACTCCAGAGCCCACCGCCTGGCCTGTGGTCCCAGCTCTGCCCTTATTAGCGGTGGAACCTGGGCAGCAACTTAACCTCTCCGTGCCTCCGTTTCCTCATCCATAAAATAAGAATAGCACTGGTACCCCTGCACAGGGCTGCTGCGAGAATCAAGTGAGCTAGTATCTGCTTAGAGAAAGCCTGTTAACAGTGCATGCTTCCCATGACTGCAGTAACAAAGTCCTGCAAATTTAGAGGCTGAAAAGAACACAAGTTTTGGAAGCTAGAAGTCCAACATGCATCTCCCTGGGCTAGAATCAAGGTGTGGGCAGGGCCAGTTCCTCCGAGGGCTCCAGAGGAGGATCCCTTCCTTGTCTTTTCCAGCTTCTAGAGGCCGCCTGCATTCCTTGGCTCGTGGCACCTCCTTCATCTTGAAGCAACATTGTATCTTTCTGACCTCAGCCTCTGTCATCACATCATCATTCTCTGATTCTCTATTCTGCCTCCTTCTTCCATATTTAAGGACCCTGTGATTACATTCGACCCACCTGGATAACCCAGGGGAATCTCCCTATTTTAAGGTCAGCTGATTGGCAGCCTGCGTTCCACCTGCTACCTGAATGCCCCTCTGCCACAGAAGGTAACATAGTCACAGGTTCCAGGGGTTCGGGTGGAGCCATTCTTGGGGCATCATTAAACCCCAAGCTCGTGGATGTCTCTGGGGGCTAGCTGCCACGTGTTACAGCTGTTACGCCTGAGATGTTTTCTGTTTTAGTGGTGCCTTCCAGAGGTTCCCTTTAAACATGGAAAACTTGAGGAAGTGAAATGCATTCATTCATTTGCCAAACATTGAGCCCCAGGGAGCCGTGCTAGGCTCTGGGGATGCAGTGGTGGGCAAAACACAGTCCCTGCCTCATGGGATTTGAAATGAGTGTAGAGACAGGGGATTAGCAAGGAAATAAATAAAACTGAATGATCGATTGTGACATGTGCCTTTGTGGAAACAGGGTGCCTCGCTGGAAATTAATGCAAGGGGAGCTAGTGTGGTCTGTGAAGGCTCCTTTGAGCAGGCGACATCTGAGCTGCCCTCTGAAGATGACAAGGATCCAAACGTGACAGGGAGAAGGAGGCGCTGCAGGCAGAGGACAAAGGTGCTAGATGGACCCAAAGGTGGGAATGGGCTTGGGTGAGAAAAGCTCATACAGCTGGAGTGCACGGCATGGGGGACCTGGGGGAGATGGACAGGGGTCAGAGTCGGAGGTCAGGGGTCAGGGGCCCAGATCACAAAGCACCTGGCCTTGTGCTTGGAAATGGGGTTTCTAAGCTTGGAAGTTTGCATTTCATTGTGAAGTTTGAGACCAGGCGTGGCCTAATTGAGATGCTGTACTCTGTGTGTTCACACATCTGTGGAGTGGGAGGGTACGGCCCTCAGTTTCTGAGACTCTTAGTTTGTCTCAGCATCAAACCCTGCCTGGCACTGGAAGGTGGCAGCTGGGTGTGGCATTCTCAGTGGTACTGTTCTACATAAGAACTACCTAGTTATCCATTCCCTACTTCCTGCGACTGACTGCCTGAGGTTGCCACTGCCCTGCCTGTGCCCTCTCCTGCTCAGCGTGTGGTGGTTTGAATGTTTCTATCCCCCCGGATTCCTGTGTTGGAACCTAAGACCCCATGTGATGGTATTCGGAGGTGGGGACTTTAGAAGGTGATTAGGCCATGAGGGTCCCTCCCTTATTAATGGGGTCGGTGCCTTATAAAAGGCTCTGGAGAAATAGCCAGATCCTTTGCCCTTCTGTCTCCTCTGTCAGTTAAGGACACAGGATTCCTCCCCTCTGAAGGGCACAGCAACAAGGCGCCACCATGGAAGCAGGGTCCAGGCCCTCACCCGACACGAAGCCTGCCAGGGCGTTGATCTTGGACATCCCAGCCTCCAGAGCAGGGTACGTTCTGCTTTTTATAAATTACCTAGTCTCAGATATTTTGTTACAGCAGCAGGAATGGACTAAGACACAGTGCATGCTGGTGACCTTGTGTAAATACCAAAAATGTCCCAATTGGCAGTTCCTGTCCCCACCTGATAGCTCCTCTCAGCCCACACGTGGGCAGACCAGGGGTGCTAGGGGGTCCTCAGTAGCCATGGATGGGAGTTGGAGGATAAATACCCCCAATTCCTCACCTTTTGGGTGGGATATGCTGAGAGTGTTCTATACCATCTCCTGAGGTTCCCAGCAGGGCTGAGCTAGTCAAAGGTCAAGTTATTAAGATTTTCCAGATGGCAATGGCTGAGTGTTAAGCCCAGCCCAGGGCTCTCTGAGGGAATGTCCTGTATGGCTGCACAGGGTGTGCTGAAGCCCCACCATCTTTTCTTGTAATAATTCTGCTTGTTTATTCACCTTATTTTATTTTTAAAAAATTGTTCTTAGCTTAAGCTAGCTCAAGTGGGTTTTATGTTACATACAACTAAGGAAACTTTGACCAGGCAGGTATGAGAAGACTCAGAGGTTCCCTTTCCTGGGTAGCATTTTTCCATTTTAATGATGCTGCTTTGGAGATAGCACCAAAATGACTCTAATGGAGAAGACTTCAGGAAGGTCTCCTTTGGGAGACTTGGCAGCTCCACATCTGGCCCAAGGGCCTGCTGGTCCTGGCCCAAAGCACCATTCCAGCCTCCAGACAGTGATGTCTTTGTCTTATTTTACACTGCTATAACAGAATGCCACAGGCTGGGAAATGAACAGAAATTTATTTGGCTCCTGGTTCTGGAGGCTGGGAAGTCCAAGATCAAGGGGTTGCATCTGGTGAGGAACTTCTTGCAGTGTCATCCCACGGCAGAAGTGTCAGAGAGCCAGAGAGAGCAATGTGGCCAACTCATAGCCTCAGGCCCCTTTGTAATTGTCATTAATCCTTCCATGGGGTGGAAGGATTGATGACCTAAACCCCTCCCATTAGGCCCCGCCTCCCAACATTGTTGCCCTGGAGATTAAGTTTGCAACACATGCTTTTTGGGGGATGGATTCAATACAGAGCAGTCTTGGATTCAGTTTTTCAGCAAGACTTACACACACCTTTCGATGGAAAGAAATGGGTCACAGAGAAGGCAGCATTTGGTCCAAAATCCCAAGGTTGAAAACCACCAAAGGCAACTTGCTTCCAAGGTTCCAACTGCATAATTCAGAAAAAAGACAACCTGACCATGGAAAGTGTTACCCCAATGCCTGGAGGGCAGCCTGGAGACTGCTGCAGAGGCCATGGAACTATTTGGTGGCCCAAAGGATGGGAAATTATGACCATAAACAACCAAAGAGCAAATACAGAAGGGGAAAAATCTCCTGGATGAAGCAGGTATAGAAAATTGGTTTTGTTTCAGGCACAAACTCTCATCCACTGCCAGAGACTTTCTAGAGGCCTGGGATTGATGAGTGAGGTCTGACAAGGACACAGAATGGGGAGAATGAACGGCAAGCTCTTGGCATGCTGGAAAGGAGAGTTCTCATCGGTATCACTGTCTCTGCTCCTGTAGTGAGCTGTGCACAACATTATTCTGAAGCTGGAAAGGTAGTCTGGGGCCAGTTACACAAGAAGAGCTTTCAGTGCCCAGAATGAAAGAAGGAGCCTCGCTCCGTCGCCCAGGCTGGAGTGCAGTGGCGTGATCTCGGCTCACTGCAACCTCCGCCTCTCGGGTTCAAGCGCTTCTCCTGCCTCAGCCTCCCAAGTAGCTGGAACTACAGGAACGCGCCACCACACCTGGCTAATTTTTGTGTTTTTAGTAGAGACACGGTTTTATCATGTTAGCCAGGCTGGTCTCACACTCCTGACCTCAGGTGATCCACACACCTCAGCCTCCCATAGTGCTGGGATTATAGGTGTGAGCCACTGTGGCTGGCCTAATTTTGGTCTTTTAACATCTTTTTTTTTGATGGGATCTTGCTCTGTTGCCCAGGCTGGAGTACAATGGCATGATCACGGCTCATTGCAACCTCTGCCTCCTGGGTTCAAGCAGTTCTCTGCTTCAGCCTCCCAAGAGGCTGGGATTACAGGTACCCACCACCACACCCGGCTAATTTTTGTATTTTTAGTAAAGACAGAGTTTTACCTTCTTGGTCAGGCTGGTCTTGAACTCCTGACCTCATGATCCACCTGCCTCGGCCTCCCAAAGTGTTGGGATTACAGGTGTGAGCCACCATGCCTGGCCTTAACATCTTTATTTTTGGCTTTGTTCTTCCCCCAAACTGACACATCCTCCCCTTTGTCCCTTCCCTGACTTGAAATCCCATTTCCTTCACCAATTTCAGTTCTGCTTCCCTTGCCCCAACTCCTCCATAGGTCACCCTCATGCCAATGGCGTCTCCTCACTCTCTGTTAAAGGGGAAGCGTCCAGTGTGACCTGGCATTCATTCCCAAGTATACTCTCTGGTCGGTGATGTCATTGATCCAGCTCACCAGCATACTCTTGAAGCATGCAGATTCAGCACAGTGCTGGCCACTGCAGGAGACCCAGAGCAGTTGCTCACCCATGACTTGGTGTATGCATTCCAGAATGTTCTAGAACAACCCAATATGACTGGCCCCCAGAGTGGTACCACAGTGCCCTCTTCCTGGACTGGGCTGTCCTCTTCTTCTGGGTCTCCAGCAGATGGGTGCCTGTTAGAGAATCTGGGAGGAGCTGAGCCTTGGGAGTGGCTACGGCAGAACCTAGGGCAGGACTTTCACATGGAGGTCTCTTGGGTCAAGGTCTGAGCACCTTCCTGTCCCCTGTGTTCTTGAGCCAGCTGGAATTCGGCTAAAGCAGTAATGGTTGACATTGTGATCAGTGGACTAGGAGGGATGTGGTCACTATGTCTGGAGTGAATGCTCTTGACACAAGCTTTTGTGCTTCTATAAGTAAAAGCAACGACAGAAAGCCAGATTCCTCCCACATCCTGTTTTTCTTCTCGATGCCAGAATTCAAAGTGCTCGCCATCCCCTGCCACCATCAAGCCTTTAGCTTGGCAGTTGGTGGAAGCAGAGAGAAGAAGCAGACATGAAGTGAGGGATCAGGCCAGCTTTCTGCGTTTGAAGCCTGGGTCTGTGACTTACTAGACTGTGTAACCGTGGCCACATTACTTAACTTCTCTGGACATCATTGTCCGTTTCTGTAGAGTGGAATAATAAGAATCCCTCTCTTAAAGGGGTGCTGTGATGATTAATGGGTTTATACATGTTACGGCTTAGGAGAGTGCAGAGGAGACACCCAACCATTGTCCCAGCACCAAGAACTCCACTCATGGGGACAACATGAACCTGGCTTCTGAGGAAGTGTCTCCCCTCTGTCCCCCATTCACTCACAGCTTTCCAAACAATTTGCAAGAGTCCGTCTTCCCCTAAAGCCAAGTCCTGGGGAGGCAAGATTCACAGCCTGTGTCCTAGAGAATAGAGAGAGGAATTGCTTGGAGGGAGGCTGGTGTTTATTAGAGCTTCCGTTACTCTCTCTGCCTCTGTGGGCTTGACAAGTCGCGTGGGGGCCTGGAGACATTCAAATCTGAGTGGTTTTGTTCACATAAGAAGAATAGATGAAGGACAACCAGCTGAGGATTTGTAAGGATTTCCATGGCGTCACTGGGGGACCAGGGAGCCTGCAGGTGGAACTCATGGCCTGGGAGTTGCTGGTGGGTGTTGGGCAGTGCTTGTCTGCACAGTGCATGGAAGGGGCAGGCAGGGAACCAAAGCTGTGGCTTGGGAAATGGTGAAGAAGCCCAGGAACAACTTGGAGCTGACATGGGCTCCTTCCCAGCTTCCTTCCGTCCTCCAGCTCCTGGAGGGGATGACTCCTCAGGGCGCATGGTCAGGCGCTGAGGGCCTGTGGTCAGCGGGAGAGGAGGTCCAGAGCATCCTTGAACTTCCTGCCGAGCTTGTCACTAGCTGACCAGGTGGTGTAGACAGCGACAAGAGAAGGGGCTTTTTGAAAAACCAACTGTTGAAGTGAAGACACATGAACCCAGTGTGCACCCCTGTGCTGTTGACCCTGGAGGGGCCTGGCTGCCTCCCGCCCTCACCCACCCATGTGGCACATTCCTGCTCTCTCTCCATGGCCCAGTTCAATTGTCACCTTCACCACACAGCTGTCCCCGACCACCCCCACACACAAGTGCTCTCTTCCTTCTTGGGCTTCTGAAACTCTTCTCAACGGGCTGTGTCACCAGCCTCTGAAACACACCCCGGAACAGAGTGGGCTATCTGCGAAGGCTGGCCGAGACGAAGGACAGATGGCTGCTGGGTGTGCTGGGACACACTGTGTCCCCCCAAACTCTTGTCCGTGCAGAACCTAAGACGATGACCTTATCTGGAAAGGGGGGCCTTTCAGATGTGATGAGGTCCTACCGGATTATGGTGGGTCTGAGTCTAATGATTGTGTCCTTATAGGAAAATGGAATTCAGGCACACAGATACACACAGGGAAGCCGTGTGTTAAGGAGGCAGAGGTAGGAACAATGCAGCTGCAAACCCAGGATTTGGGTAACCACCAGGAGCCAGGAGAGGCAGGAAAAATCTTCCTCTAGAGGGAGCACAACCCTGCACACACCGTGATTTTGGAATGGGCCCCCAGAACTGTAAGAGAATAACTCTGTCGTTTTGACCTCCAGCTGTGGTCCTTTGTTTTGACAGCCCCAGGACTCATCCAGGGAGACCCTGCTCCAGCCCGGATGCCCGGCTGTCAGGGTAGGTGGCCAGGGTCATATCACATGCTGGATGCCCTGGCCCCCTGCCCATCATGGCCAAGGCCCCGCCGTTAGCCCAGGTCAAGCACTTCGCTTCCTGTTGATCTGTTCTTGGCTAAAACTAGGGATGACGGTGAGGGGTGACACCCAGAGGCATCTCCACTGCAGAATGGGGAGGACCTTTTAGTTTCCACAAGTGGCTGGGAGGGCGGGCTCTGGAGTCTGACAGACCCAGTTCAGATTCTGCCTCTGTTACTAGCTAAGCACAGTGAGCTCTGGGCTCCCTTCCCTTCTTCGAGCCTCAGTCTTCCCATCTGTAAAGAATGGGACCGACAACAGTACCCCCGTCAAAGTGGTGTCCTTAGGATTAAATGAGATGGAAGAAGGCACAAGCCACGGGGCCTGGTGCATCGCCAGGGCCTCTTGGTGTTCTCCATTGTTGTGTGGAGAGGTTGGCACCATGCTTGGCACATAGGACATGCTCCATAAACGGTTACGGCAGCAATTATATTGATTCATGATGACAGAGGGAGTATTTGCAGTGTAGCCGTCCCCGGAAGTCAGGGTGAACAGTCCCCTAAGGCTCACCCCCAATTTTGAGGTTAATTTCCCTGGGAGCTGGGACCAAGGAGGGAGAGGGGAGCTTTGTTTGGTAACAGAGAAGATCTGCCCAGCGGCTCCCAGTGATGGTGGCTGATCAGCCCGATGGGACGCCTCGGCCCGGGAATGTTTTCTTTCCATCCGTCTCTTGGAGACATTTTCTTGCCAATCAGGGCGTTGGGAAGGCGGGTGGGGAACAATGGAACGCGTTGTCCTCACTCCCCGCTGCCTCGGCTTCACCGACAGAGTTCACTCAGCGTGTAATCCTTGAGGCATGTGAAGCCCGCGGCAGCGAGGGAGGAGGAGAAATCACCCCGCGTCAGGGAATTAGAAACAGATTGCTGGACGGGGCCAACGTGTCCCAGGTGGGCCCTGCACGGGCACCACTGGCAAGTCTTCCTGGAAAGGTGTCCAAGAAATGTAGCCGGCTGCTGGGGCTGTTGCAGACCGATGTGGCTTTAATGACAAGGCCCCTTGTCAGGCTCGACTGACCCAGGGGGACAGAAGCAGCCCCCAGCGTGGAGCCTTTTCCCTCTTACCTGCTCATCTGTCTTGACTTCTGTGTCCATAAAGGAGGCTGCTGTCTATGCATGCAGAGGGGAAAAACCCAGGTGGGTCAGGCTGGAGCTGGAGGTCGGAGGAAAGAGCAAGGCAGGAGCCTGCACCTGTTCCTGGCTTCACCAGTGACCCACGGTGTGACCTTGGCCTTGTCCCTCTTCCCTCTGCATCTCGGCTTCCTGTGTAGAATGTAAAAATGGTCACAAGAAGCCATGCTTGCACTGCATTAAGGAGACAGCAAGGGCACTGTCTCCTCAGGAGCTAGAATGCAGGAAAGGGGGCAAATGTGGAGAGAATTTAGTCCAGTAGTTCTTAGCCCTGACTGCAGGGCTGGGTCCACCAGGAGTTACCCAGCCCCCGCCTGGTTCGTTCAGGCAGGACCTGCAGGGCTGCACGTGGAGGATGGCCCTTGATAACCTCCTGGATGGCTCTAACGCAAAGTGAGTGTGAAGGGATGATCTGGGCTGTCTTCTCCCGAGTTCGCGTGTTCTCACAATTTCCACGCGATCTGTTTGCTCACCCGCTTCCTGCACCTCCTGCTTCACTGTTTTCTTGCCTCCTCTTTCTGCAGCTCTCTGCACAGCGCACTGGCTCCAAGAACAGCCTCTGCAGCCTGATCTTGGATGGAGCCTGTGTTTGCCACGTCCTATCTGTGGGCCCTTTGTGCCTCAGTTTCTTCATCTATGAACTGGGCACAGTCAGCTCCCTAACTCTCAGGGTAAATGTGTACAGCCCTCAGTGTCTGGCAGGCTGCAAGCTAGCCTGTCACCACGGGTGCTCCCAGTGTAGACCTTCTGCTCTTGGAACCTGGCATAGCATGAGCTAGCCT